TTCAGTAATTATTCACTGAACCCCCACTGCACACTAGGCACTGGATAGCTAGACTTGGGAGGTAAAATTGCTTGCTACATTGTAAAAAGATGTCCTTATATTTGTGTCTTAATTTAGAAAGAATCTATTGACCCCTTCCTATAAAAATGAGAACTTTATTGCCATTTGCACCAGCTCTCTTCTCCTCTCCAACTCCTGATTTTTGTTGTTTTATTTCTTCTAGAGATATTCTTTATATCTTTAAAAATAGTACACATAAAACTTTGAATCCTGTTTGAGCTCTCTAGGGAGTATCTACTTTACTCCCTGAAATGCAGTTCGACGACATTGGTGATTCCACTTACATTCCTATTCACTCTGCCTATTCTCTCCCACTTTTTGGTAATTTATTATTTTTACATTGCCATGGTGAATAATAAATATATCTTCCATATGTGTCACTTGGTTTGTTCTAAAAGTTCGTTCGATTAAAAACCAACATCTATAATATTGTTATGTAAACATTATTCAGGACACAGAAAAAATCATGTAAATGGCCCCAAAGGAAAAAATAACCACAAACTTCCTTTACTTCGCTTTTTGTCTATTAATCAAGTAGGTTTGCATCAGCACATGTAAGACAAATGTCCCCACAATGAGTGGTTGTTTTCATGTTCTGGCTTCCTATTATATTTCTCTTATCTCTATACTGACCCATAGGATGTTGCATTATAATTTATCAGCTCACATATCTATCTACAAGCCAAACGGTTTTAATTTCTTTTGCCATGTGTGTGTGAGAGAGACTTGAATGTAAAACGAAAGCTATGAACATTTTCCATAGAACACACTGAAAATTTTGGGTAGAGTTTCAAGAATTTTATAGGCCTCCCCCTGGGTCCCAAAGTAAAAATTCTGCCCTAAACAGTGTTTTCTTAAGGGCAAGATCTTATCTTATTATTATATTTCTAGCATCTAACTGTCCAAGATAGCAATAAATAAATAAATATTTGTGTAATTATTTTTAATTTAAATTTTTTCAATTACATTTTACTTTCAATATTATTTTGTACTAATTTCAGGTGTACAGCATAGTGGTTAGGCAATCATATACTTTATAAATTGTACCCCCCTCATATTTCCAGTACTCACCTAACAGCATGTACAGTTATTACAATATTATTGACCATATTCCTTATGCTGTACTTTGTATTTCTTTTTTGTTTTTGGGGGGAGATTCGCTTTTTGTCTATTAATCAAGTAGGTTTGCATCAGCACATGTAAGACAAATGTCCCCACAATGAGTGGTTGTTTAATAAAATAAAATACAATATTTTATTGTATTTAATTATATATATTTTATTGATTATGCTATTACAGTTGTCCCGTTATTTTTCTCCCCTTTATGCCCTCTCTGCCTTGCACCCCTCCCTCCCACCTGCATCTCCTCCCACCCCCCTAGTTCATGTCCATGGGCCATACATGTAAGTTCTTTGGCTTCCCCATTTCCTATAATATTCTTAACCTCCCCCTGTCTATTTTGTACCTACTATTTATGCTTCTTATCCCTGTACCTTTTCCCCCATTCACCTCCCTCCCAACTCCCCTCTGATCTCTGTTTCTGTGAGTGTGTTCCTGTTCTAGTTATTTGCTTATTGGTTTTCGTTTTTGTTTCTTTTAGGTTCAGTTGTTGATAGTTGTGAGTTTGTTGTCATTTTACTGTTCATAGTTTTTGATCTTCTTCTCTTTCTTAGATAAGTCCCTTTAACATTTCATATAATAAAGGCTTGGTGATGATGAACTCTTTTAACTTGACCTTATCTGGGAAGCACTTTATCTGCCCTTCCAGTCTAAATGATAGCTTTGTGCTGGATAGAACAGTCTTGGATGTAGGTCCTTGCCTTCCATGACTTTGAATACTTCTTGCCAGCCCCTTCTTGCCTGCAAGCTTTCTTTTGAGAAATCAGCCAACAAGTCTTATGGGCACTCCTTTGTAGGTAACTGTCTCCTTTTCTCTTGCTGCTTTTAAGATTCTCTCCTTCTCTTTAATCTTGGGTAGTGTAATTATGATGTGCCTCGGTGTGTGCTTCCTTGGGTCCAACTTCTTGGGGACTCCGTGAGCTTCCTGGGTCTCCTGGAAGTCTATTTCTTTCGCCAGATTGAGGAAGTTCTCCTTCATTATTTGTTCACATAAGTTTTCAATTTCTTGCTCTTCCTCTTCTCCTTCTGGCACCCCGATTCAGATGTTGGATCGTTTAAAGTTGCCCCAGAGGTTCCTAAGCCTCTCCTCTTTTTTTCAAATTCTGTTTCATCATTCTCATCTGATTGATTTTTAGCTCTTCCTTCTGATCCAAATCGTTGATTTGGGTCCCGGTTTCTTTCCCTTTACTGTCGGTTCCCTGTATATTTTTCTTTATTTCAGTTTGCATAGCCTTCACTTTTTCCTCCCTTTTGTGACCATACTCAACCAATTCACATTGAGCATCCACATTACCAGTGTTTTGAACTGTGCATCTGATAGGTTGGCTATCTCTTCACCGCTTAGTTCTATTTTTGGAGCATTGATCTGTTCTTTCATTTGGGCCATATTTCTTTGTCTCAGAGCACCTGTTACATTGGAACTGGGCAGAGCCTTACGTGTTGGCCAGGACAGGACAATCCAGGTCGCTGCGTTGTGACGCTGTATGTGGGAGAGAGGTCTGAGAGGGAACAGTGGCTCTTGCTCTGCTCTTGCTCCACTTTCAGTCACTCCCCCCTGCTACCCACAAGCAAATTGGGTGCTTCTGGTGCTGATTCCCGGGTGGGTGGGTTTGTGTACATTCTAGGACACTGTGCGTCTCTCCAAGGAGCTCTCCTGTGAGGCTGGGAGTTTCTCCTGCTGCTGTATCCACCACAGGTTTTTACAGCCAGAGGTTTTGGGACTTTCTTTTCCTGCACTGGAACCCTGGGTTGCATGGTCTGTCCTGCTCCCCAGCTGTTCCTCCTGGCTTATCTGCACGTGAATATGGGACCACCTGGCCCGCCAGCTGCTGCCTTGCTCCTTAGGTCCTCTCTGGCCCTGCTGCCCTTTCCACCCCTCTTACCAGTCTGGGTGAATATTTCTTCTTTAGCCCCTTTGTTGTTAGACTTCCATACCATTCGATTTTCTGGCAGTTCTTGTTATTTTTTGTTTTTTAAATTTGTTGTCCTCCTTTTGGTTGTGCAAAGAGGGAAAGTGTATCTCTCTATGCCTCCATCTTGACCAGAAGTCCTTTATTTTATTTTTATTTCTTTTTAATTGAATTTAGTGGGATGACATTTGGTTAATAAAATTATATAGGTTTCAGGTGTACAATTCTGTAATACATCATCTGTATTTTTTATTATGTTCACTATCCCAAGTAAAGTCTCCCTCCATCACCATTTCTTATGCTGTACTTTCCATCCCTATGACTCTCTTGTAACTACCAATTTGTTTTTCCTAATCTCTTCACCTTTTTCACCAATACCCCCAAACCCCACCCCTCCGGCAACTACTAGTCTGTTCTCTGTATCTATGAGTCTGTTTCTATTTTGTTTGTTCTTTTATTTTTTTCTTTACAGTTCACAAATGGTAAAATTTCATGCTTTTTATGGCTGAGTAATATTCCATTGTATATATATACCACCATTTTTTTATCCACTCATCTATTGTTGGGCACATGGGTTGTTTCCCTATTTTGGCTATTGTAAATAATGCTACAGTGCACATTGGGGTGCATATATTATTTTAAATTAGTGTTTCGGGTTTCTTTGAATATTTATTGAGAAGTGGAATCACTGGGTCATAAAGCAGTTCCATTTTTAATTTTTTGAGGAATGTCCATACTGTTTTCCACAGTGGCTGCACCAATCTGCACTCCCATCAATAGTGCACAAGGGTTCCCTTTTCTCCACATCCTCTCCAGGACTTGTTATTTGTTGATTTATGATGATAGCTATGCTGGCAGGTGTGAAGTGATAGCTCATTGCGGTTTTAATTTGTATTTTTCTGATGATTAGTGATGTTGAGCATCTTTTCATATGTCTATCGGCCTTCAGTATATCCTCTTTGGAGAAGTGTCTATTCAGGTCCTCTGCCCATTTTTAAAAAATCAGATTATCTTTTTAGTGTTGAATTATATGAGTTCTTTATAAATTTTGGATATTAACCCCTTATCTGATGTATCATTGCTGAATGTTTTCTTCCATTCAATAGGCTCTCTTTTCATTTTGTTTTGGTTTCCTCTGCTGTGCAAAAACTTTTTAGTTTGATGTAGTCCCATTTATTTATTTTTTCGTTTCCCTTGCCTGAGAAGATATAGCAGAAAAAAATATTGCTAACAAAAATGTCAGAGATTTTACTGCCAATGTTTTCCTCTAGTTTTAGGGTTTTGCATTTTACATTTAAGTATTTAATCTATTTTGAGCTTATTCTGTAAATATTTGTTTAAATATTAAATGAATCAATCATTCTCACTTTTCCATTGGGTTTTAAAGTCTAATTTTAAAACAGAAAAGATAATTTCACCTCTCTAGTATTTGTTTTGTAGGAATCTACTTTGTAATGTAATCCACAGATACTTAAATGTGGCTTTTTAAACTAGGAGTTTTTAATGATATCCATGCTGAGGAGTTCAGGGGTAAAGTGAATCAAAATGTCTGCAGAATGACTGGTTGTTTTCATGTTCTGGGTTTCTACAATATTTTTCTTATTTCTGTACTAGTCAATAGAATGTTGCATTATAATTTATCAGCTCACATAGCTGTCTACAAGCCAAATGGTTTTAACTCCTTTTCCTACGTGCGCGCGCGCGTGTGTGTGTGAGAGAGAGAGAGAGAGAGAGAGAGAGAGAGAGAGAGAGAAACTTCAGTGTAAAATGAAAGCTATGAACATTTTCCATAGAACACAGAAGATTTGGGGTATAGTTTCAAGAGTTTTACAGACCTCCTCCTGGACATTTTACATAATAAAGCAAGTATTGTAAGGGCAATTTTTTTTCTTTTTTCTTCCTTTTCCAGAAACCACTGAGACCGCGCTAATCCTTTCCCTCTTTCTCTTCCAAAGGAAGAGAAGAACGATTATCAATGGGCCAATAGCAATTGCGAAAGTAGCACCAAAGGCCAGCTTCACACTCAGGAGAGGACGTTGCGCCTCTTACTCATGCGTTCAGGTACTCTACACGTTCAGAGAAACTTCTCTAGTAAGAAACTATAGACGTGATCCCTGAAAGTATAGTTTTATATAGGGAGATGTTTATTGTAGAATCTAGGCAGTGAAAAAACTGTTGTCCATGTACAATTCTTTCAACTTTCATAAATGTTTAAAATTTTTCATACCACATAGGAAAAAGTGACTTATGTAGTTTAAGAAAGGGTTATATATCACTCTTTTAGAGGACTATAACAAGCAAAATTTTACCTCTCCCATTCCTTAATACCATATTATGATTGTATATCAAGTTTGGAAGCAGTTATCGAAGCAGTGTGTGTAGCGAACAGGCGCTGCAGTCAGGGTGCTCGGGTCTGGATCCTACTTAGATTGGCACTGTAGAATAGAATAATCATCTCTATAACACAGAGCTGTGTACAACACTATGAAATGGGGAAAACAGTAGGTGGTCTATTATTATCACCTCACAAGTCATAATTGGAGCTTGATTTGAAGGAGGCTGGGCCAGTTGTCTAAAAATCTTTTCTGTCCAGAATTCTGCGGTAAGGTCTGAGACAAATAACCTCAGCTCTGGTCGGTGCCTTTTCAGAGCAGCCGTCACTTGAGAATCCAAGACCTGAAACCCATTAATTGGTTTCTGATAAACCCCCAAGAACCTAAGGAAGCTATGATCCTGCGCATGCGCAAGGGTGTTGCCCGCTCCGGTCTGTGGTGAATGGACTATTCTATTCCTGAGAGATGTTGAACGGAGAGAATTTGGAAGTCTAGACCTGGAAGTATAGGTGCGTTACTAGTAGTTCCTGCATTTTGCCTCATGAGTGGTAACATTATTATATATTTCTACGCTGACGCATGCGACAGGCTTCTGAAGAGTTTGAAACGGCTTCGCCGTCCATCCTCCCCCTCTCGATTGGGAACTTTAGGGATGGCCGACGTGACAACCAGGTACGGAAGCCCAGAGGGAGCCGCCCACCTCAGGGGGCCCGCCCCGCCGCGGCCCGCCTCCCGGACAGCAGCAGATTCTCCACCCAGTGGAGACTCCAGGCAGCTCCTCCTCGTCTCCGCCCCGCCAGCTGCGGGAACCGGGGACGTCAGTGCTGCCAGCGTGGAAACGGCGGCGGTGCACGGGAGGCGGAAGTAGCGCCAGGGACTGCGAGCCTCCTTCGGGCTCCGCCTGCCGCCTCAACCATGGACGCATCCCTGGAGAAGGTTTGTACTCGGGGCGGGAGGAGGCGCTGCGACCCGGGGTCTCCACCTCCGGGGCGTCTGTTTACCTGTCTCGAGCTGCCATTGTGACTGGGGAGTGGACCGGGGGTTAACGGGCTCCACCTGAGGACGCCTGGCCGCGAGAGGGTCCGGCCCAGCGCTCGCGGCTGAGGCCTGGTCACGTTAGGGGGCCAGGAGTCTCTCGGGTTCCTATGGACCCAGAGAGACTGGGCCAGGTTCTGCCCCGGGCGGCGAGCGCCCTGGAGCCCAGTGCGGGGCCCACCTTGGGGCCTGCTTGAGTTCGGCTCACCCATTTGGATGACAGAACTAACAACTTGTAGCCCCAAAAGCGCCTGGAAAGGAGCCCCAGTTGTTTGGGAGCTAGCTGCAAACCTGTAGGTTTTTTCTGTGGTTTCCAAGGTAGGAAGAAAAAAACATTAAAGCATCGGTTTTCCAGCTTCATTGTGCCTAGGAATCACCTGAGGCCCTTGCTAAAATCCAGGCTTTCAACTCGGGAGGCCGAACCTCTGGGGGGCGAGATCGGGATCTGCGTGTTTAACAAGTTCCCCACGTGATTCTGATGCTGTAGTTTGTGAACACAGGGTAAGACCCCGGAAGTCAAGGAAGGGGTGGGTTTTCTGTAGATTGTGAATTTCGTTTTGGGACTTGCTGCTGCTTCGCAACTTTCTGGCTCTTCCTCTCGGTGGCAAGGGGGAGATCTTCCTGTCAACCCGAGATCCACTGGCAGCAACGCTTTCCTCTGGTTTCCCCGTGGGGGAACAGTAGCGTGATGTACCTGGCTGACTGCACTGGCATGTGAAATGGATTCTAATTGTCCCGGATTTACGGTTTATAAATGAGAACCAGAGCTTGGAACTCTTCATGGGTACCTACTTTAAGAACCTGACATTCTGCTCTTCCTTAAAGCCTTGCTCCGTGGTCGAGCTCGGGAGTCTTCTTGTCCCCGATTTTACACACGTGTAGAATTCAGGAGCAATGCTAGTGTTTTTAGGACTGCATTCTTTTAATTTTGAACTGGCAGAAACAACATTTGGTCATTTGTCAGTGCAACAACTGCTGTGGATTTGTTCACTTGTCTCTGGAGAGTCGAAGGGAGTAATTGTCCAAGTTCAGCCAGATGTCTTCCTGTGCCCACAGTGGTATAGACCACGCCTAGGCTGTTTCTCTTAAGTTGGGGAGAATGCAATCATGAAAGGAAAGAGTAACGTTTCTTCCACTGCCTTTCTGATGAATGTTACGTGTTTTTCTGACGAGGAATAAACTCTTTCCAGGCTTTGATTAGAAGTGCCTACATTTGGGTTCTTTGAGTTTTAGTCTAGATCAGTGATTCTCAACTACCAGGCAGTTTTGTTCCCCAGGGGACATTTGGCAATGTCTGGAGACATTTTTGATTATTGTAACTAGGGAGTAGGGAGGAGCTGCTTGCACTGTGTGGATGATGGCCATTGGTGCTGCTAAACCTCCTACATTGCACAGGACAGCCCCAAACCAGAGAATTATCTGCTCAGAATGTCAGTTGTGCTGAGGTTGAGAGCACCCTGGCCTAAACCATGTGTGTAACACCAATAGTTGAATACCAAATAATGCTTAAAATGTCCCTTCAGTGTTTTCTTTCCAATTTCATGAGGAGGTAGAATGGGCTTTTGTCATTTCAGTTAAAAACCTAAAGAGCTGAGGAGATCTGTTCTCCAAGAATAGTTCTTTGTAGGCAAATCTGTACAACAGTGGGTTGGGATCCTGCTTTAGTTATTACTTTTCTGACATTTGATTAATATTTTATAGCAGTTCTCTAAATGTTAGCTGATGATAAAAAATCTTAAATTACCCAAATGAAGATCTGAAGAGGCACTGAAACTCCACAAAGTTCTTAAGGCTGGAGCATTCACAAAAATTGCAGTGCCCTTTTAGGAATTCAGAATGTGTGGGTTGGAAGTTTCTGCCTTAGGCCAGTGTAGAAATTCTGAGTGTCAGGTTTTTTAGAACTAACACTGTGTCTCAGTTTTACATTTCCTGAAGCAATAGAGAGCCTTACATGTAATGAACAATTTCTCTTGTTGCTGAGTGGGCAGTAAAGAAAACGCATTGCTGTAATATGAATATTGAGGATTTTCTGTTCTGAAAAGTGGTTTAAATCTAAAACATTGAGTTGTTCCCATTCCTGTTTCTTTGAGGAATAGACTATTATGAGGTAAATTCTACATTGCTAATATAAATTTGAGAACTATTTGAGAACTATTCTGAATGAACCCATTTAAGCAGATCCTTGCATAATTTATACTGGCTACAGACACCACAATGTTATTTGATATACATCCTCTAAAGTTTCAAGTAATCTCTCTCACCCTAAAATGTACTATGCTGTCATCATTTAGTAGAATCACTCAGTACATTTCCTTTGGTCAAAATATGATTGTGTTCTTGCTTTTTCTTTAGATAGTATATAGATGTGCAGACCTGCAATGACTGAGCCATTTTCTTGTTTTTCTTCACAGCAGCATCAGTTTTCTTCTTGTATCTGAAATTAGTGATCTCTCAGGAAACCAAATAGGTTAATTGAAGGGGCCAGGAATTCAAACTAAAAGAATAGGAGTAAGAGCATCAGCCCGCACAAGACTATATATCCAATGTACAAGGAACGAGGACCTATAGCATTGTCTCACAGTGCTTGTGTTAATATTCAAGTTTTAAAATGCCACAAGAAGTAACTACTCTGATGCTGAAGTTCTTAAAGTTATTCAACACACCTACATATGCTTTTTAGTAAAAACCTGCTACTTTAAATTTGTAGAATAGCCCAGACCTTTTTCTATTGCTTGGAGAATCTCATTCTTCCTATTATGTTTAGACAAGGTGTATGGCAATTTGTTTTACATTTACTTTCGTCCAACCTTGAGTAAACTTAGAGCAATGTTTTTCAAACCAGCACAGCTGACATTTTGGGCTGGGTAATTCTCTGTTGTCAGAGGCTGTTCTGTGCTTTATAGAATATTGAGAAGCATGCCTGACTTCTACCCCCTGGACGCCAGTAGCACCCTCTCCTCGCACTATGACAACCAGAAACCTCTCCAGATGAAGCAATTTTCTCCTGGGGGTGGGAGGAATTGCCCCTGGCTGAGAACCACTCACTTAGAGAACCTAGAGTTGCATTGTACAGTACGGTAGCCACTAGCACATTTGGCTTTAAATATTTAAATACTCACTAACATTAAATAAAATTAATTCAATTTCTCAGTCACACTAGCCATATTTCAAGTGCTCAACAATCACAGTGTGGCTTTTGGCCACAGTGTGACTGCTGGACAGTGCAGATATAAAACATTCCCATCACCACAGAAAGTTCTATTGGACAATATTATAGAGTGAGGCCAATTAATCTGTTGTATATCTAATTCTTTTCTCTAAAACAGGCAACTTTGACCCTGTTTCTGACCTATCTAATTACAACCCAACCCATTTTTATTTCTTAGACTCATCATGAGCTAATTTTCCCCCCTTTGGACCCGATTTTGGAAAATTCGTTATCGCCTTACTGTTTATAAGATTATAAGGAGCAGTAGGAGCATGAATGGAACATTCCTGATCATTACTGATAAGGATTACCAGAATTTCTATTTCTGCCTTTTACTTTAAATGCTCAGAGAAAGAACCCCTAATAGTTAAGCTTGAAACGACTAGTTTCTGTGGTTTGCCTTTTTAGATTCCACTCTTACATAAAATGAGAGACTTCTGTGAGGAGATGAAAGCTTGTAATCTTAGTGTTCATTTAAAGCTGCTCCCTATATCATCATAATGTGAGGGTTTTGCATACAGGTGCTTAGTGGCTGAGGTGGTAAATGATTATCAAATGCCGAGTGTCAGAGAAGACATGGTATGTACAAAGTTCTGATCCTAAATATTATGGCCTTGGTGATTCTTTATTTAATTGAGGTAGCATAGATAGTCATTAGCGGAGCTATTAATGGTCCCCAGTGCATGTGTGTTCTCCCATATATAGGCTTATGAATTATAAATAGGTGTTACTTGAGCTTATTATCATCTTTTTTCACCTAAAGCAGAAGCCTGGTTTGATTTATAATTTTTATTGAAGGCCAACTATGGTCAAAACCCAGTGCTGAATGCTGAGAAAGACACAGGGTGAAGAAGACATGATTTCAGCAGGAGGTTACCTTCTGGTAAGGTGTATATACATGTTTAGACAAATACTTGTATAGCAGGGATGGGTAAAAGAAGTATCACAGAAAATGAGAAACAAATGGGGACAGAGTACATGGAATGAGTGACCAGAAAAGATGTTGTGGAAGATATTTTTTAGGTAGAATATTTAGTTCAGAATCATGAATTTCTAGAGGTTTGTTTTTTTAAATAACGTTTTTTTACTTTATAATATGATTGTGTCTCATTGGTGGTAGAATGTAATTTAATGGAAAGGAAAGCCATTTAATCTTTCGAAATTAAATCTGATATAAAAAGAAACCTCCAATCACTTTGAAAATGTCCAAAAATTCCATTCACAAATCTAATTTATCAAAAATAAAAATAGCCCTGACCTGTCCAGTGTGTCTCAGTTGGGTTGGATGTTGACCCGCAAATTGAAAGGTCGCTGTACAATTCTGGATTCCATTCAGGGCACATGCCTGGGTTTTGGGTTGATCCCTTATAGATCTCCTGGGTGCTTAGGAGAGGCAACCTGTTGATGTTTCTCTCTCACATCAATGTTTCCCATCCTCTTTTTTCCCCTCCCTCCCCCTCTCACTAAAAGTAAATACATAAAATCTTTTTTTAATTTTTTTAGTTTATAAATCATGTTTATTCTATTACAGCTGTCTCAATTTTTCCCCCTTTACACCCCTCCACCCATCCCACCCCCCACCCCCCATTCCCACAGTCAATTCCCACTCTGTTGTCCATGTCCATGGGTCATTCATACATGTTCTTTGTCTAGTCCTTTCCCCTTCTTTCCACCATTGTCCTCCTTCCCCATG